ATGGAGTGGGTGTCCATACAGAGTAAGTGTCCATATGGAGTGGGTGTCTATATGGGTGGGTGTCCATATGGAGTGGGTGTTCATATAGATTGGGTGTCAATATGGAGTGGGTATCTATATGGAGTGGGTGTTCATGTGAAATGGGTATCTATATGCCGTGGGTGTCCATATGGAGTGGTTGTCTATATGGAGTGGGTGTCCATTTGGATAGGTGTTTATATGGGTGGATGTCCATATGGAGTGGGTGTCTATGTAGAGTGGGTGTCCATAGAGAGTGGGGTGTCCATAGAGAGCAGGGTGTCTATATGGAGTGGGTGTCCATTTGAAGTGGGTATCCAAAAAAAGTGGGAGCCCATAGGGAGTAGGTGTACACATGGAGCGGGTGTCTATATGGAGTGTGGTGAGAGAGTGGGGTGTCTGTGGAGTGGGTGCCTATGTGGAGTCGGTGTCCATATGGGAGAAGTGGGTGTCCATAATGCAGGGATCAACTGTCCTTACTCTAAACCAAGTTCTTTCATCTCTTTGTATATTTTAATGATCTTTTTGGGATTCTGAAAGGAAAAAGTAAGATAAAAGTTAATCTCATGGTTTCATTGAAGCAGATCTTAGATATAACGGCTAATGGACGGGTTGTCTAGGTCTCAATTTTTTTTCTTTCTGATCGTACAACACAACTAAACAAAGGTGTATGGAACATACATTTTCCTTCAAGCGTTCGGATAGAAATCCTCCATCTTTACTGTGACCATAAGCTGATATAAGGAAAGAGTAAMGGTTGTGGTCTGGTTCCTTCAGTTTCTGTAAAAACAAAAGGTAAGATGTGTTAATTAACAATTATTATTCGCAAAAGGCAAGTCTTTGGGCAGCAAGATAAAGATTCAACATACTCATTTGAGCAGTTGGTGAGCCTGTAGTGACTCTAAGGAATAGCACATGGTTAGTAATGGGAAAATATTGCACCATGTACCTCTGTTACGAGGAGGTTGATTTATGATTTAGGTGATTTTTCTTCATTTCTTCTAAATACCTTGTAATTATTGAAGCAAAACTGTGCCGCTCTGCTGTCGCCAAGATATGCAAACATCTGGAAAAACAAATAATCAAGTTTAGCAATGCTCTCTACTCTTGACCTTATCTTGCATCTTTCCCTTTTCATAACAATTAGGCTTGGCAATGTTCATTAGGCTTTGCTTGATGACCCTAAACATCTGCAATGTATTTGTAGAAGTTAATAACTATTTAAACAACAATTTACCCTAATCATCTGTCGATAATGATGCTCATTCAGTGGGATATTGTGTTCCTTCATGATTTTAATCAGCTGTAAAGAAACAAGACAAAAAATTAGCTCACTACACATATCCACCATTAAACTGGATTATATAACATGTCACAATCATGTGTAAAAGTACATAACAACACAAGTACAAATCAACATGTGAGTCAAGCATTGTGTGCATAGAACCTTGAGTGGTAGTGTGGTGAGTGAAAAGTGTCCCCAGTTAGTGCAAAAGCGCTAGAACGACTAGACACAAATAGAGAGATTTAAAGAGATTTACACAGGGACATGCAAAACAATACCAGCTTCGTTTCAAATGGTTCTCCATACCGTATAAAAATCATCATGCAGTAGATTTAAGTTTAAGCATTTCATGACCACTGTGTAGGATCTGGAGTCCATCAAGTCTTCAAGTCCCTGAAGGATATCAAATAAGGAATCTTTAGTTAACAGGAAACATCCATCTAATATGCAAGATATCTGACATACAGCTATTTCAATAAATGTTGTCATTGCCAAAGGCGATAGGCGATAGGTCATTCTGACATGGAAATGGTTTCGTTGAATACAAAGAACATTGAGTCAGTCTCAACACTAAGGTCCATGTTCTTGATGAAAATAAGAAGCAGAAACACAAGTCATTCCAGCTATCTTTGAATCTTGGAATGACTTATCTCCTACGGCTTTCTATTGCCTTTGGCAATGATATTTTTTTGAAACAGTTGTGTAAAGATGGAATTTGGGAGTAATGGTTTTCCAAATTCCACAAAACAACCCCACAGAAATTGACAGTTGTGTAGCGATGTACAGTAAGTGTGAAGTGTATTGTTTAACATATGGAGAGCATGTATGAAGCATTTAGGGAAGCATGGGTAGCGTAACTGTGAGAGCTCTCGTCTCTCACCAATGCAACCCAGGTTAGAGTCCCAACGAGCTAGATGTTGTATGTGAATTGAGTTGTTTGTTGGTTCTCTCCTGTACTTTGAGGGTTTTCTGGGTTCTCCGGCTTACCTCCCTCTGCAAAAACCAACTTCCAAATTCTAATTTAAACCTAGGAGATATTCAAAATAGGGCTAGCCTCAATATCTCCTTTAGCAATGACTGATGCGAATAAATGAGTGGGTTTTCTTATGTGTGGTATTGATATGACCCGGCCATAGCAAGAGTATGTGATCTTAGTCACATGAGGTTACCTCCTTGAGCATCAGATGTATAAACTCTGCCCCCATTTTAGCTCCTTTTTCTTGCTTACAGCAGGCCTCCAAGACATCATAAACAAACAATGCTGCAACGTAGAAAAAAGTAAGGGGCTCTTATTAGAAGTGTTATGAACCACTGTTTTCATGGTAACACACTCATCAAGACAAAAACAGGTTTAGCGGCAGTTATGTAGATCACTGTCAATCCAATAAATCACTAAAGTGGTTCCAGTGTGACTATAAAATATTACTCTTGTGATTTCCCTGATAGATAGCTAGTACTGCTAATATTGCCCTGTTGCAACATGTGTCATGTACATTTTGCTATCCATTCTTTCCCTAGTTTTTGCTGAATTTGAGTAAAAATGCAAAGTTCATAAATTAAGTGGTTTGAAGTTTTGGTCAATTTTTGACAGGGTGGTGTGTTGTTTGCCCCCCCCCCCCCCCCACCCCCAGCTTTTTAAATGGTTTGGTGGTTTTGGTACCCTCCCTACCCCCCATGGTCTATGTCACTATGACAGATGTTCAGATACAAAATCTGGACCATTACAGTAAAAACCCGCATATAAGAACCTAAAATGTAAGAACCTGTTAGGCTAAAATTTCATTTTTAAGCACCCTTCACRTAAGAACCATTTTAGGCTAARATCCTAAAACAGGTTCTTATTTTTWAAAAAGAARAAARAAATAGAATCAATCTTTTCAAAAATATATTTATAACACAGTCTGTACACAATAATGCTATAAACACTTTAACTGTACATGGTTATTATAACAGAATCAGATTAAAATAGTATACTGTAGTACATTTGATTACCTAAGCCTCCAAGAATACTGTAATTGGACTATAGTATTCAAAAATACTACTTTATTTCTTAAACAAAAGTTAAGAACCTAATCAAGAACCTTAGGTTAGCCTAATTTAACACTAAGACTTAGTACCATTATATAAGAACCTGTTTAGGCTAACTTGAAAAAACCTGGGTTCTTATACGCGGGTTTTTACTGTACATGAAACTTACGCATTAATGTAGTATATCCATGATCCTTTAGCTTCTTGAGGATCTAGATGGTTTACAGAAACGAAATCAAAAACATGGATTAAAAAGATGTCAAAAAGAAACAACAGCAACAAAATAGCAATCACTTTGTTTCAACTTACATTGACTGCATTGTGAGGTTCAAATGATCTGAAGGAAAAAATGGGAAAACTACCTTTTTATAAGTGATATCTTATGTATTGATCAGCAGCAAGATTTCAGTGTACAGCGGGTGTTAGTTCAGAAAATGAATATCAGGTGGACAGACAGACAGACAAGCACACAGACAGACAGACAAGTACACAGACAGACAGACAGACAAGCACACAGACAAGCACACAGAACAGAGATTTTGAAGGATGAGGACTATATACTAAGCTTTTTCCTTCTTTTAAACAATTAGATCCATAGCCTGATCAAGCCAAATAAGCTATTTAACCTATAGATTTAGTACATAAGGCCAAGAGCCAAAGACAAAAACATTCAGACAGACAGACACTCAGATATAGACAGACAGACAGACACTGAGACATAGGGAGAGATAGTCAGACAGACAGAAAACAAATAGATGCAAACCTTTTCATTGCCCTTGCATAAGTCTGTCCAAAAAACCTTTTATCTTCAATCTTGCTATCAGCGTATTCAACTGAACAAAAACAAGGTCACCTTCAACGTCAGTATGAAGACACCAAACTATTATTAACCATTGATGTCAATCAATTGATAAATAAATCAGTCAGCAGTCAACCAGACAGTTAGTCAGTCAGTTGATCTGTCAGTCAGACAGTTAGTCAGACAGTTAGTCTGTCAGTCAGACAGTTAGTCGGTCAGTCGATCTGTCAGTCAGTGAGACAGTTAGCAATTCAGACAGTCAGACAATGGATCAGTCAAATGATCAGTCAGTCAAACAGTCAGTCAGTCATTCACTCAGTCAGTCAGTTGATCAGTCAGTTAGTTGGTCAATCAGTCAATCAATTAATCAGTTGATCAGTCAGTCGGTCAGTGACTCAGTCAACCATTTATATCCAGTCAGTTTAGTACTCTTAGATGCAATACTTACAAATGCTGTCCAGTTTTTCCAGATGTCCAGCCTCCATCACAAGCTGTGCCATGGTTCTCACCAGATAGGGTGATAACGGCACATCCTGAAGGAATAGAATATCAAGTTGGTTTGAGGATATATCAAGTTTCCTTGTAAATAGAACAACAAAAACTGCTGCAACAATCAACCACTCACCCTGCTAACTAACTAACTAACTAACTGGTTTACAGTCAACTCACCCACGAACCAACTCACCAACACCAACTCTAAACGTGGGCGAGTTTGCATGGGCGAGCTGGCAAACACATGATCAATGATTTTATACATGGGCGAGTTGGTCCGTGGGCAAGTTGACTGGTTACTAACTAACTAGACAAAAATCAAACTATAAACTAAAAAAAAACTAACAATATAAACAAACCAAGCTGAAAAGAAAACAGCTTACTATCAAAGCAAAAGAATACAGTAATTGTAAATGTCTTAACACTATATATGTAACAGTCAAGAAATAAACAATGTCTAACAATTACATACCTTTGATAGAGCCATGAATGAGTTCACATCAGCTTCTTTGGGCTGACCAAATGACCTTATGATGTAACTCAAGCTAAGAAAAAATAAATATTTAAAAAAAAAGCAGCAGTGACACGCAAAGCACTGTTGTGGACCAGTTGCTTGTTATCCACAAAAACATCAATAGCCAATGTGCATGAGCATGAATCTATAGCACAAAGCATGATGGGAAACTGAGTACTTAAGGTTTTGGGGATGAAAGTAACAGAGTAATTTTTTCTGATTTGTTAAGTCCTCAGTTTCCTATTGTGCTAGAGATTCCTGCTCATGCACATTGCCTATTCTATTGATTTCTTGAATCAACTCTGATCTAAGTCAGGGCAAAGATCAATCTGGAATTCATCATGTTTTGTTTTGCAGAGGAAGAAAAACTAGAGAAAACAAATCATCAAGTAGGCACCTAACAAACTCTATTCACATGTGACACTAAGTCCAGGGACTGAACCAGAGAACCCAAAGGAGAGAGAGAGAAGCATGGGTAGGGTAGCAGTGAGAGCACTCGCCTCTTACCAATGCAGCCAGGGTTCAATTCTCAAACTCCTAGTGTGAGAGTAGACTTGTTTGTTGGTTCTCTCCTGTGTTTCAATGGTTTTCTCCCGGTTCTCCGGTTTCCTCCCTCCACAAAAATCAAATTATTTTTTTCCCCAATTTTTTTTTCAAATTCAAAATCGATTTAGAAAGGGCTCGGATGAAAATTACTCTGTGTGTAAATCTAATGTTAGTATTTAAAAATATAAGTATAAATATAAATATGAATATGAATATGAATATGAATATGAATATGAATATGAATATGAATATGAATATGAATATGAATATGAATATGAATANTGAATATGAATATGAATATGAATATGAATATGAATATGAATATGAATATGAATATGAATATGAATATGAATATGAATATGAATATGAATATGAATATAAATTTATTTGTTAATTACCTGATTGGATCAATATCTAAACCATGTTCAGCCATCAATGTAAATGCTTCTTGAGTTCCTGAATAAGTCATTAAAAGAGAATGAATCAGCATTAATACAGTGTCTTATCCACAAGCAAATGACTTAATTAATAAGAGTGGAGACTGGCACGAGTAATGTAACATATAACATGTTCAGATGTTAGCTTTGGTATTTGTCCTGACTGGTCTCAGTTGAATTCATGCTTTAGTTTCATTCTACATTGTGATTGGTTAAGTTTTAACCAATAGCAACCTCTATATGAACAGTGAAACCCCTCTATACCGGACCGTGCTGGGACCGATAAAAATTTCCGGTTTAGCGGGGGTTCCAGTATACTGAGGTTTTTATCAAATTACTTTTGTTTTCGATTTGAATAGGTGCGATATCACACCTATTGAAAATTTGTTTGTGTCTTATCATTTGGCGTCAGTATAAACAAACACGTAAACAAAAATTCAAGTAAAAATATCAACAATAAGTTCAAAAACTAAGCAAATTTCTTAACTTTTTTTCGAAAGAACGCCAAGAAGAAACATTCTAAATACGATCTGAACAAAATCCCCGGTAGAATGGACTGGGAATGACCCCAAAGCCATGTGACATGAAAAAACATGGCGGTCGCAACTTCGCGAATCATTCGATCTTTAGTATTTCTCAACACTACTAAACCTTCCTTATGCATTCTGTTTGAACATTAATATTGAAAACAATTAGCTAGTCTTTATAATGTCTATTTGTGAACAACATTTACTATTTAAAGAAAATTCTCAATGATTTTGTGAGTTTAGAAGTTGTCTCTGTAGACTCAATTTATACACCCGAAAATACACTAGTGACGGTAGTTCCGAAACAAAGGTACGTTCTTCTGGACTAGCGGGGTTGAATTCTATTGTCAAATAGCGTTTGGTACCGAAATTATCGTCCGGTTTCCGGAATAGAGAGGTTCCGGTTTACTGAGGTTTATTTTACAAAAGATATATGGGAAAAATTTCCGGACCAAAACGTTTGTCCGGTTTAGAGAGAATTCCGGTATACTGAGGGTCCGATATAGAGGGGTTTCACTGTATTAGCTGTCACATAGTTGAACCAAAAGCAAAACTATTGTCAAATTTAAAAAGCCACTGATTCAGAAGTCTTAGGACATTCATGGGCATTTTTTATATGCATCCTTTCACAGCATGATCTTATTGATGCTCTCAAATCATTGTGGGTGTGTTATTTGGAGACAAAATCACAAGAATCAAGTTTTTCACTTCTTCAACATTTGTACCTCTGAAACAATTCATCCCAGTGACCCCTTCTTTTATTTCGTATATATTGGATAAAAATAGAAAATTTGACAAAAAAAAAAAAAAAAAAAGAACTCAATATAAAGTAAAAAACCACAAGGGGAAATTTTATGTACTTAAGTGAGGCTAACGTGTCAATAGATTGTGACACCTTTAAGTGCTACATGACACTCACATTGTCTGCCTTGCACTTGAAATATAAAAACATACCTTTCACATCCCTTCTGTCAGCTAAGGAGGCAAACACAGGGTAGAAGTAATGCTGTTTGACCAGGATATTCTAAAAAAATAAGGATATAAATTTAGTTTTACTTCCAGTAAATAAACAATGAAATAAAGCCAGTCATTCAGTTATATATGTGCTTTGAGGTTTTTTCTCTAGGTTCTCTGGTTTTTCTCCCTCCGCAAAAATCAATGTCTAAATTCCAAGAGCCACTCGGTGGAAATCCTATTGTTAAATCCTAATTATTTTATTTCATTTTATTTATATTCCATAAAATTTATTGTTGTTATATAATTATTTATAGGTATCAGGAATGTATTTTATTGCTAAATATTTTTGCAATTTTGTACTCACCCCCTCCCACTTCCACTCTATTTGTTATTAGATAAGATTTTATTGTGAAAAAGTAATAATTACATCATGAGTGAAAGCCACTGCAAACGGCGTTCAGCTAACATATTTGTTTAACCTTGATCGCAAACAAGCTTACGTTCAACTGATGACACTGAGATTTTTTAATCTATCATTAATTTTATCATCAAGCTGAAAAAATACTGCATTTTGTTTTCCATATTATATGAAAATTTCTGTAATTAAAAGCTGTAATTAAATTAGCCTTACAGTGACAAAATTGAATTAAAGTTTCTGCTTGAACACACAGCAGACTGTTAATGCAATTCACTTGAGGCATCAAGTGATATGCAAATATACATTAGTTCACGGACGGATGATCGGTTGTCAAGCAAAGCCAATGCGTAACTAAGGAGCGTTTTTCTACTTTTCCGATCAAAATCATGAAAATTAAATACTAAACATTCATATTTAAACTAAAAGAGGCTGTTTGCTGGTATTTTTGTTTGGTTTAGGCTATTTTTAAAAAATATCCCAAAAAGTCACTTAGGCCATTTTCATTTTCATCCCTTCAATTGTATGTGGACCCCCTAGATGCGTGCTTCCTCTCTTGGGGTTACCGTTATAACATAAATAAATAAATAAATAAATAAATAAATAAATAAACAAACAAACAAATGAATGAATGAATGAATGAATGAATCAATCAATGAATCAACGAATGAACGAACGAACGAACGAACGAACGAACAAATTAAAAGTATTAAAAACTGGATAAAAAAGTACCTTATCAAACATCTCTTTGATGATGGCAATGGTCTTTTCTAGAAATGAAAAATGAAATTAAAATGTGTATGCTAGGCTATGCTACATGTTGGACATGTCTACAGTACTAGTAAGTTAAGACTAAGGTGTAATATGACCTGTACAAGTTTACCTGGTTCTCTGATGCCATAGGACAAGTCAAGAGCAGTCTCATACACTTTTTTCATGATACCTTCTTTGTTCAGTGTTTCCACTACCTTCAAGATCTTATCTGTTGGCTAGATAAACAGAGATGTTTTCAGTAATATGGAAGAAAGGGGGCGATAAAAGAAAATATTAGAGAAGGGAGGGAAATGGAAAGGGAGACAAAAGAAAAGGAAAGGGAAAAAGCAAAGCAGAGCAATTTAGCAAAGCTTAGCAAAGCAAAGGAAGGGAAGTGAAAGGAAGGGAAGGGAAGGGAAGGGAAACAATAAGGCAAAAAACAGCAAAGCAGAGGTAAGAAGGCAGATCTGATTTGGAACAAGGTAAAATGTGGCGTGGTGTAGAATGGTATGGCATGAAATACTTTGCTATAAGGCTGTGTGGTATGGTGTAGTGCAGTGTTGTACAGAAGGGCGTAGTGTAGAATGGTATGGCGTGAAATACTTAGCTATAAGGCTGTGTGGTATGGTGTAGTGCAGTGTTGTACAGAAGGGCGTAGTGTAGAATGGTATGGTGTGAAATACTTAGCTNATGGTGTAGTGCAGTGTTGTACAGAAGGGCGTAGTGTAGAATGGTATGGTGTGAAATACTTAGCTATAAGGCTGTGTGGTATGGTGTAGTGCAGTATTGTATAGAAGGGCAAGACAATCAAAAATAAGGATATGCGATATTACTGACCTGCTTGGAAGTGACAACTTGTTTAAGGAGGAGAAACTGTGGTGTAGAAGAAGGAGAGGAAAAACCTTCAGTTGGGATGAAATCCTTTAAGATCAAGGCAGCATCTATGTCTCCACGACTAGCTAATGACATCATCAATGGTAGGATATCTAAGGATGACAAACAACAATCTTAAATAACAAATAACAAAAACAAATAACAATTTTAAATAAACAATTTTTAATCAATCACTAATCATAGCACTGATCATCCCTGGTAGTGGTGATGGCAATGACAACATTGATGAGGCCAATACCAATGGCAACGCCAACGTGGACGATGATAATGATGATGATGACGATGATGAAGAAGAAAGGTTTATTATGATGAACGATTACTCAAGGTGGTGACAATGGTGCTGGTGGCAGGGACGGTGCTGATAATAACGATGAATAGTTTTATTACAACTTAATCTTACCAAGTTCAACCAGTCTTCTTACTGCTGGTTTTTCCAACACCTGCAAAATAATACAACAGCTTATTATTTTGGTAACATATATTCCATAGTCCTTTGCACGGATTCTTATACAGGTATTAGATTTCTTTATTTATTTCTTTCCTTCATTCCTTCCTCCCTTCCATCATCCCTCCCTCCCTATACTTACCTTTGGGATGATTTCAAGGCGACCACATTTAGCAAAAATGTCAATCAACGATAAATATACTGTGTGGTTGGGATATACTTTTTTCTCCTGCATCTCAGATATAGTCTATGAAAATAATTAAAAGAATATTTTGAATGAACGAAAAAGTTTAGAAGCTTGCAGAAAGGAATTTTCCTAATTATTCATGGTACATGTACATTTGGAAATGTATAACAAATATGATAATGTTGATGGTATTTTTAATAGTAAAGCAGAGCAGCTTTATCTAGTAAGAGTGACATTTGACAGTTACAACTGGCTTTTATTTAACATCTCATGACCTCATTTCACTCGCTCATAAATATATTCAAGCTAGAGTAATGGTCTAACCATCCCCTTAGAACAAAGGCCACACCTTTTACTCAAGTATTTAATATCCTTGGATAAGAGTCTGGCAGGGAGTTAAACCCAGGACACCCTGAAGAACAAACCAATGTCTGATCAAGCTAACTGGATAATAGGGGTACATGTACTTACCACTTACCCACAAAAACCAGAAATTCCAGTTGGAAAACAAAAGGTATGCATCATTCAAATTGGAAAGTTACGGAAAAACTCGGTCTTGTGATTGAGGTAATCCACTTTTCCCACTCATTTTGGTTCTTTCGATAGACATGTGTACTATTTTTAGAAAATCAAAGTTCCCTGCTCTTTTGTTACCACTGGCGAATGAATTTAATTGGTAAGCAACCCCAATAATACACACTTTTTCAGTGTAGTAGTCTCTATAAATTTTACCTCATCAATTTTCACTAGGTCACCATTTTCTGCATACGCTGTTAGTAACGAGGTGTAGCTCTCCAGGCCAGGATCCAAACCATTCTCTCTAAAAATCAAAAAAACATATCACATGGCTTCTTGAACCTTTGGGACAACTACTGATAGAATGAAGCTTGTGAGTAACTACCTCAAATTATCTCAATCTAAAGCAAATGATGGACTACCTGTTGCCACAGGCAACCCACTCTATATGCTTTGGCAGCTTTTTGACAATGTTCTGTTGACCATTTGAAATTATTGATATTTTGAAATGATCTTGAAATATCAATTGAATAGGTATATGTCTGACCATAGTGGTCAGATGTTCCATCAGATATTAGTTGATCAAAAATAATTGTAAGAATAATAATAATTCTCCAGTTTCGAATTCTCCATGGAATTTTTTTTTTAATATCCATGTGTTTTAGTCAAAGTCTGTTGAATGTAACGTTGAAGTTGTACATATAAGTTTGCGAATATTTGAACACCAAAATGAAGCTAACCCCGTATAAACGATTCTGTGATCAAGGAACACAGCAGTACTAGTGACTAATTCAAAAAGTGTAATTATTGTTTTAAAGAAATTAAAAAATAATAGTACAAAATAATAAAATACGTGTAACTATGACTACCTTACCTCATGATATCAAATACTCCTTTAGCACCTTCTATATCTCTACAGAAGAAGAGAAAAGTCATTTAAACCATTACCATGACCATTACCATGAGTTTCTCACTCATGTCAACACTGATCTGTTGCATTAATGTTTTATAAGACCGTTTTGGCTTGTGTGTAATGTTCTCCAATATCTGACCATCTGTCATTCCTTATTTTTAATCGAGTTATAGACAAAACGTTCAGTAACAAAAGAAGTGTGGTGACTCATAATTTAGTTTTTGTATAATATACAACTTAACACACTCACCCTGATTTCCAGTAAGCAGTTATAAGTGCTGAATACACAGGCTCATTTACAGGCATCTCTGCAGCCTTCATGAACTCAAGGACTTTACTGAAGGGCAAACAATTAGAGAAGAATAAATCGGTGCAGTGACTGACTGTCTGACTGAATAAATGACTGACTGACTGATTGACTTATTGACTGACTGACTGATTGACTGCCTGACTGATTGATTGACTTATTGCATGACTGACTGACTGATTGACTGACTGACTGATTGACTTGACTGACTGATTGACTGACTGACTGACTGATTGATTGACTTATTGACTGATTGACTGATTGATTGACTTATTGACTGACTGACTGACTGACTGACTGACTGACTGACTGACTGACTGACTGAATGAATGACTGACTGAATGACTGACTGACTGACTGAATGAATGACTGACTGACTTATTGACTGACTGACTGACTGACTGAATAAATAAATGAATGAAAGGGGAAAGGAACAGAACTTTTATCCCAATTACAACCTAGCCCCTAAAGCTCCTAACCAGCAAGGGCTGGTAATAAGATTCAACAATACCTCAAAAAAACACACACACAAAATGAAAACCCCAAGACTTACAAGACTCCAGCAATGTCTCCCTTCTGTCCAAAACCCTTGATGACTAGTGTCATTGTAATCTATAACAAATAAATCACATAAGACAATCATTTCATACATGTGAAGGATTTACATAGACTATACAATAGACTATTTTGGCTTGGGCATAATGTTTTTCATCACAGACCATGTGTCATTCTCTGTTTGATTCTTTGTTTGAGTTGTATCCATATTCGTGTGCCTTCTCATTTGCAACCATTAAACAAAGAAATGATACTCTAGAGAATGACACATGGTCTGAAATGGGAAAACATCCATGTCCAATATAGAGAGGTCTATTATTCCTGTTAAAATATTGAATAAAATAAAAAAATAAAAAAATATTGAACAATGGGGCAGCATATCTGCAAAACTTTTGCCTTTAAACACTGTGAATACCGAAGTTCAGGTCACTGGTTCCTGGAGATGCCACATGTGAATAAAGTTTGTTTGATGTGCTGGCAAAAAGATAATAATGAAAGATTTAAACACTCAAAACATCAATAAATAGAGTGTGTGTCACACCTGGTTAGGCTCAAGTCCAGCATCCTGTATCTGCTCCAGAACTTCAAGTGGGTTAAAATCATAATTATTTTGAATGTAGACAGAGAGAAGTGCATTGTACATCATAATGTCTGCATGGATTCCTGTAAATAAAGAGCAGAACAAAGCTGTAAACACACATAATTTTTTTACTATTATATTCATTTACACATAACATAATCATGGCCATGTTGGTAACATTTAACCAAAGATTTCTCAAGAGCATCCTTTGTTGATATCACCAGCATGGCCACCATATTTTTATCMCTTAACCCTCTTGGGAGGCCATAAAAGCACACTGTACTGTACAATCAATCAATTTCCTGAGAATTGGAAATCTATTGTTGTCCTCCAAGTTGAGCTGCACACCAACGTGCTGCAATGGGTCTATTGTTTCCACATGATGCAAAGTACATTGCCCATCCGTTTCCATAGTTACCTGAGGCCAGAATCTTGTCCCATATCACATGTGCCAAGTTTGTGCGTCCCTCTGGACTTTCATACATAAGTTCTTTGCCACAGTTCCTTAGCAACTGGTATGCCTGAAGTGGTGTTATCAGGCCTTCTAATATAATAGAAATAATAATGATCTTTGAAATAAGTATGGATCTAATAACCATCCATGTTAGAGAGTGCAGGAATAGTCTGGAATTGAAGTACTTCACAATAGCGTGCATGGAATTGGAGTCTCAACAAGGTAAGTTTTTTAATTGGCTAATGTAAATCAAAATGTTTTCATGACATACAATTCTTTGATTGCACATTACGTCATCGTGGCCTCTTGGGACAGGAATTGGTGACATTTAACAAAAGTTAATGGCACCACAATGGCCGCCATGCTTTTATCTTCTAACTCTCTTGTGAATGCTTACAACCCATCAAATAGACACTGTCATTGGAAACTTTGTGTTTTCTGATAATATCATGGAAATACTTTGATTGACATCCACCAAAACCAATTTTGTCATGATGTCAAATTGCATAGTTTGCTTGTGTCATTGTATTTGGGTTGATGTGTGAATACTCTATTTTACAGTTTGTTCAGTGACCACGATTAATAGTCCCAAGTTGAGGCTGGAGTTTCCAAGCGTAGTAAAACTATTCTTTTTATCATGCACAGCAACTCCAACCTCAGCTTGGAACTATTATTTGTGGTCACTGAATGGAACTGTGAAATGGAGTATTCTGTGAACAATGAATGAGCCACTGATAACTTAGTTTCAAAATCAGCTCTCCAGAGTTTAAAGAAGATATGCTTATGTCATTTTCCTTATTTAAGATTATAAAGCTTAATTATTCCAGATCTTGTTCATTGCTATGTAGTTGACAACCAGCTACAGTAACTAGTACTCAGCCCCTCCCCCCCAGAACATTTGATAGCACATGACCTGGAAACCTTCATTGTACATGGGTAAAACATTTCTAACTTCTTCCATTTTTTCCCTCTGGGATAATAAATACCATGACATTCGTGCATGTTTGCAAAACATATAAAACCTGAGATCAAAAGATGAGCTAACTTTATAGCCTTACCTTTTTCCAAAATGGTGTCAAACGTTTGCAAAAGAGACCCTTTGGAAGAAATCGTACCAAGTTTTTGAACCATTCTTTCGTACTGATTGTTGCTCATTATTCTAGCCTTGGGTGGTCTTTTATCTACAGGAAGTCTAATGTCGTCTTCCAGTTCATTTTGTATATTTTGTCCCATTCCAAAGCCGGCTTCTTCATTTTCCGGTCGAACATCGTCAGATAAAAACCTTGCAGAGCTTACTCGAGGTAAAATAGGGTTAATAGAGCTAAGGAGTGTTGGTCTTGGTGTGTTTCTGATGTAATGAAGTTGATTCCTGGCTGTTATCAAGGCGATATTTCTACAAGCACGAAGTGTGCCGAAACGTAAAATAGCCGCCATCTTGAAGTGTACCATGCGGTTGAAACAGGCTCTCACGACACTACAATACACAGGGAACCCATAACAACTCAAAACCTCTCAGTGATGTCGAACATTCTCTGTTTTACAAMAAATACTGATAATCAGCATTTTACTGAAAAACCTGATAAAGGAGCATTTTATTGAAAAAATGTTTAGCTATCTGGTAGATTTTTGCCCGGATGCACCCCAAAAACAAAACATAGTGCAAGAAAACATTATTTTCCATTTTTTTTAAAACTTATACAACAACAGGATCAAATAATAAAGTCCTTCTAAAACAAAATGTTTTCATAGTATTTTTTAAGATCATGTTTTGAAATCTAATCGTGATTTTTCCAATACATTTTTACTAAGAAACACATGACATGCAGATTCAGGTAGGTCCCGGGAAGGAAGGTGTGAATTTTGGAAAGTTAGAAAATATTCCGCTGTATAATTCAAATATTCAAAATCAAAATTTCGTTGCAAGAGATGTTTTATCTGTAAAAATTTGTACCAAAAGTTTGTGAAAGTTTGGTGAGAGTAACATGAGGAGTCTAACGTCTCGTTCATGAGGCCTGGTTACCAATTGAATCAATCGAACATCGAACGTCGCACGAACTTTTTTTACCAAATTTATCTTCAATTTTTATCCCAGTTCTTTCGCTAACGTCCAATTGATTATGTCCAGGAGGTAGGTTCATGATTATTCTTTTCAATAAAGCTAATAGAAGAAGCAAAGGTGTGATTTTTGGGGTATTTTTTTCACAGTGACAGTGAAGGTAGTGTGGAGACTGACAGAGCTCGCGTTCGCAGTGTCGTTCAGGTATGTGAAGATTAAATCATTACTTACGATGTTGTTTGTTTTAAAAAGTTTCTTTGCTTTTAAAATCACTGCTTAGGGTGCTTCACGTAGTCGAAAAATAATGAGAATAACAAAACGAATCTCGAAGTAAGAACATTAGTTTGAATTGGTGTTTTTGATGAAGTTGTAAGCTTTAATACCGGTAGAATTTAATTTCCAAATGAGTAAGCTTACTTCTCTTTTATAAAAGTAGGTTTCCACGTGTTGGAAAAACATTACCCCATTAACTAGGAAATTCATGATGTTTAGAAAAATTAGTAGCCTTGCAAAGTTCTGTAAATGAGATCTCGCGGGATTCCTGTGGTGAACAACGCAGTAAAAGGGTTTTGACAAACTAATGGTTTTAAATATGTGCACAACTCCCAGTGTTTTGGTGTTATCCTTATTGATCCTTCAATTGCATGTTACATCAGAGTAACCATGTTAACATTACCATTTAAAAAAGAGATTTCTCATTAGCTTCCATCGTTACTGCACCATGACGGCCACCATGTCTTGTTTTTTCACTCTTTTGGGAATGCTTGCAACCTGTCAATAGCACAAATAGAACCTTCTAAGAATCTTGTGTCGTGTCAAAGTGGTTTTGGGTATATGTGCATTTGTTAACTTGTCGTTACGATGGAGAGTAGGTGCCTGGCAAAGCGGTAGGCGATGGCAACTAGCTGGCAAGAGGTAACCATGGCAACCAAGCCACGGGTCAACCTCGGCACCTGTCACACTGCTTACACAGTGGAAGTAAACTACTTACCTTGTCCAACCAGAGGAGGGTGGGCGGGGCAAAACCGCGATATGAGGGCAATGGCTAACAGCAACTCAGTTAACTTTGCTTAAATTTAACCACATTAGTCTTCAAAACTCGGAATGTGTAGTTCCAGAAATTATCTAAGGGGTAGGGGGGTCAGAGAAAGAACAAAATTACAGGGTTTGTATGGAAGAAAATTGGAATTTCTGGGGGTAGGGGGAGATGTCCTAAGAAAATCCCTCTGTGTGGGGAGGGGGTATGGAGGATTTGGATAATTTCTGGAACTACGCCATAAAGGTTTGCCATTGTCTAATTTGCCATAATATTAGTACTTTTTTATGATTTCTTCACATTTTCTTCATATACAGTGGTCATAAAGAAATAGCGGTAATGTTACTTCAGCATGGAGCTAACACTTCTATGAGGAATAAGTCAGGTGACTGACATTTAATAAATTATTGATACAATATATAGTTAGTGGAGAAACAAAGAATGTTGTGCATGATTTTGTTGTCTTTGTTCATACACGATTCACATATATTGTTCCTTGCTAGCAGAGCCTATTTACCTTTTGTTTTGGTAGAGTGAGAAAAATAGACTGTGCCGATGTAGGACGTTATGCTTGTCGTACCAGTGCGTGGCATAACTTAGCAATGCTGTCATGATTTCGACAGCCGCTCTCAAACAACTACATGTACAATTTACCCGGTTAAAAAAAACGGTTTTAAAACTGTTTTCGTTCATCCCCAATTGTGGATGGCAGTGTGTCAAAGTAAACGTTTTACATCAGCAGAGTCTCCCTCCTCCCCACGTTAACGAAGGGAGAGAAAGAGGAGAGACTCTGCTAGCAAGGAACATATATATGGTATCTGCAGGGCTTGAACCAGTGACTGAAACTACAGTGGTGAAAGATGATGCATTAGCAGTGTACACCACCCATGTTACCCTTTTATTTTCCCATATAATTATTTCTCCATAATTAATTATTTAAATGATTTGTTATGTGACAGGTCAAACACCTTTAGAACTAACAAAAGACTTAAAGATGAAGAAACTACTGGATGTTCAGCCACTTCAGGTAATCTGTGCTCAGACGACATTTCATATATGCTTTTCATGTCTTAATGTGTTCTGTAAAGGAGAATATATAATCTAAGAGGGCTTAAAGTAACACCCAGTATGTCGCCAATCATAATGGCCGGCCTAATTAGTTTTAGTTTGGTAATACCTTGTTTCTGGGTCAATGTTAATGGTCAAAATGACACCAGCAAAGCAAAGATTTAACTGGACATTGTCTGATGTCCGGCAGTTATTTTAAGCCCTTGCCTAACTATTATGTTACTAGTCTAGCATGCGGCATGATTGTCTTCATTTTTTACAGGCTGCACATGCATATAACACCATTCTAACGTCATAACACTAATTAATTGCTGATAATGAATTAATGACAATCTAATGAAAGATTCTTTGTTAATACTAATTCTCTACTAACTATGGATGAGGATTTGCTAATGTCTTTGTAAATAACTTGTTTTTATGCTGATAAAGGACTATTATGTCCAAAATGCCAGTATATTCTGAAATAATTCATGCAGCATTTTTAGGTTACATAAAAGTTAATTCTGCTAAATTTTGATTTAAAAATTGCTCTTAATTGCAAGCAAATTAATTTAAAAGTGAAATTGTTTTAAAACTGTTAAAACTGATTTTAACGTTATTCCAATTTATTTCATGAATGAATTGAATGAATATTATGAGATAATTAGGATAGTACATGCGCTACGATTGGTTGAAAACCATGTTTGATGAGAATATCAAAACATGCTCACGTTTTTTGATACTCTGATCAAAACAAGCGGGATGTTGAGAGAACACATGAGAAGCTGGAAACCACTCCGGTAAGCATCATGGTTTCCTATGCTCCTCTCGTGTTCTATCAACATGCCGCATGTTTTGATCAGAGTATCAAACACGGAAAACTGTTTTTGATCTGTTAATCAATATATAATAATGTATTTGTACTTTTCTTTAACTCAGTGCATCACTATTGGTGTACAAATATTTGATACAATTATAAACTGTTGTTGTTGTTGTAAATGTTGTAAAATGTTACAAATCATTTTTATTTTTATTGAACAGTTAATGGAACAGCTTGTGTTTTTTCTGTCACTATTTGATAGGTAGCAAAGATTAACAATTCCTTTCAAAAATCACCGCTTTTGAAAAGAAAGGTAAATCTGACAGGATGGTAATAGAAAGAATGTGACCCCAAATAGTTTTGGTAGGATGTTGGACGACAGTATACCATTTTTTTACCTACAAACTACTGTTTTCCTACTAGCATCCTACATCTAACCTTACAACACTCAGTCTACCACTAATCTATCAAGACTCCACTAACAACCTAAACAAACATCCTACAGATAAAGTGCCGACGACCTACCAACACTAATTTTGGAGTAGCTTCACATTAGTTATAATTTTTCAAACTGGATACTTGGAATTGTTCCAAAAATCCTGTGATATTATTAGTATTTTACAGTTCCATTTTGTGACCACCAATGATATTTCCAAGTCAAAGTTGGGAGTAAGCCATGCATGATAAACTATAGTTTCTATGCAAGGCAACTCCAACCTCGGCATGGAATGTACTCTTATTTGTCATTACTGAAAAGTCCACTGTAAAAAGGAGCATTATTATTTTTGGCATTTTGAGTTTTTTTTCTTTAATTTTGATTTAATTTTTCAGTTATATATTCTTCCTCACTTCAGTTTCTATTGCTAATATATTTCTATATCCTCATCCATTATAATACCACATTTCTACACGTAACATCCATACTATTGCTAATATATTACTATATCTTCATCCATTATTAATACCATATTTCTGCGCATTCTCTCCCTCTTGTAATACACCTACATGTAACATCCATACTATTGCTAATATATTACTATATC